TTAAAACGGGGCTGGTTTTGCTTGGTCAGTGATTGTGAGCACATTGCCTTGATCATCACTAAAACAGGGTCATGTTTGGAGCAGTCGCATCTGAATGATTGTGACTTCACACCTGTTTTGGTTTGGAGTTCTCTCAGAAACAGGACCCTACTTCTGCTTGGGAGGTAAGTGCCAGGAGCTATATAGAGACAAGGAGACATGAAACAGGGAAGGGCAGGCAGCAAACAAAAGGTTTTCTACTAAACTGGGCACCTCGGAGGGTGACTGGAGCTCAAACATGTAGAAAATTCTATGAAATGGTGCAATATCACAAGCCTCGTAATTATCTTGCCTGAGGACTGCAGGAGCTGGGGTATTAATATACCATTGCCTGAAATAATCACCATTTGAAGACTGTTTCTAGGGGCTAGAGATTCCTGGGGTATTTCCAGCTTTCACAAGAGGTGGGCAGAGCAGACGTCCGAGGTTCCTGAAATAGCTCTCAGACACAGAGAAGCCAAGTAGGCGTATGAAAGTCGGCAGGAGGACACTGGAAGACATGAGAGTCACGGGTGGGTATGGAGGATGTCCATTACATACCTCTGATCACAATAATATTTTGAGCCCCGATTAATAAATGTATACATATTTATAAATTATATAGATGGTTGGGATATCATTTGATTAAGTATATAATAGTCTATATGCACATTTGTTAAAGGACAAGATAAAAATAAATTCTTCCTGCAAACCAATAGGTTATCTTTCATCACCCCTGGACTGTAGGAACCCCCATACGGAGACCACTGCATTGGGAAAGTGAAAACATCTTTTCAAGACCCAAACAATTCTGAATTGCATATAGAACATAGAGCAGTGGCCCCCGGTTCTTGGAAAAGTGGAAAGGTACAGTGGGCTTGCATCTGTATTCAGGTGAAATGGAGTGAGGCAATTCAGTTGCTTGAATGGCAGGTTTCCAATGTCACTGAGGTTTTGCTTTCTAGGCAGATATGAAAATAGACACCCTGATTACTGACCAACAGGGAAGAAAAGCCTGTATTTCTTCACCCACCAGATATTTATGTAGCATCTATCACGGGCTATGCTCGGGTGAACCAAACAGAGCAGCAGCAGCTGCTCACATGAGCCTGTAGGGTAGGGACACAAATGTCAATGATCTTTAGATGTTAATGAACCCACTGTGGCCTTTCCCACCTGTCACTCTTCCTCCTTCTTTCCATTACTATTGTTAGGAACATACAGATGCTGTTTAATCCTATTTGTGGTAAGGACACAACCCTTTCGCTTCTTGATCAGTTGCATTTATTAAAACAATATTAAATTTTTCTTAAATGTGTAAGTTTTACAACTTACAAAGAACTTGCATGCACATTCTCTTATTCACAAAACTCTTATTATTTCCAAATATTACATGGAGAAGCATGAACTATGCGGCTAAGTGACTTGCTAGGATGTTGCTGGTTATAAATTGTTAAAGCCCCAAGGTGAGAGTGAAATCCAGGTTTTCTTCCACAAGAGTGTGTGTGCCTACCTCTGACTATGCTAAGCTAATGCATGGCCAGAGAGGAAGAACCGTCAGTACATAATGGAATGGTATTCTTAAGTTAAACTGAGAGTGAAATCCAGGTTTTCTTCCACAAGAGTGTGTGGCCTACCTCTGACTATGCTAAGCTAATACATGGCCAGAGAGGAAGAACTGTCAGTACATAATGGAATGGTATTCTTAAGTTAAACCAGATTAGATAAATGAAGAGCTGTGCCTTTAACACTTCAGCCTCCTCTTACCAGATCATTGTTCTTCCCACCTTCAACAGGCTTCGGGGTCCTTACTGCACAATCAAAGCCTACTCTCAGAACAAAATATGAAAATAATTATTTACTATTAACACTCATACTATGATCTTTCTTTTAAACTCAACTGTCTATCTGTCTATTCATCTATCTGTTTTTGCAGCCAGCTGCTAGAAATTGATAATTAGAATTATTTTGAGAATTAATAGTTGGTATACATTTCAGAAGAGTTTGGACTTAGCTAGCAACTTCATAAGAAGTGAGCAGTTAACCTATTGTGTCTTCCAAAGGTATATAAATTTTAACTTTTATCTATCTCTCATTGAAAAATAATACACATAGCCCCAGTTAACATCTAAAAATCAGAAGCAGGTGGATTAAACTTATTTGTTTATTTATTTACTTATTTATTTGGTATAGTTATTATGCCATATTATCTTGGGTATATTAGATTCAGGTATATAATATGGTGATTCAACATTTTTACAACTTACAATGTGATCATCCCACTAATCCTAACAAACCTCTGTCACCGTGCAAACTTATCACAATATTATTGGCTGGATTCCCTTTCATCTTTTCAGCCCCTCCTTATGGTAGTTAACCCTTTGGTCTCTGTTTCTATGAACCTGTTTTTGTTTTGTTTAGTTTATTTGTTTTGTTTTGTTTTTAGGTTCCACATGTAACTGAAACCATATACAGTGGGGCCTTGACTTACGAGTGTCCCGACTAACGAGTTTTTAGAGATAGCCGTCTCTCGGCCGATTTTTTGCTTTGAGTTGCGAGCTAAAATTCGGGTTACGAGCCAGCTTCAGATACCCCACCGCTAGTTGGCGCAGCGAACGTCACAGTGAACGCCACAACATCAGCCCAGCATCACGTGTCTCACTCGTTCACTTTTTGATTTGACATACGAGTAATTTGAGTTAAGAGCTCCGTCACGGAACGAATTAAACTCGTAAGTCAAGGCCCCACTGTAGTGTTTGTCTTTCTCTGAGTTTTTTCACTTAGCATAATACCCTATAGTCCATCCATGTTGCCCCAAATGGTAAGATTTCATTTTCTTTTCATTGTGTGTGTGTATGTGTGTGCGTGCATGTGCGTGTCAGCACATAATTGTAAATAATGCTATAATAATTATGTGGGCACATATATCTTTTTCAATTCGTGTTGGGTTTTTTTTTTGTTGTTGTTGGATAAATACCCAGAAGTGGAATTGCTGGGTCATGTGGTAGATTTATTTTTAGTTTTCTGAGGAATCTTTACACTGTTCTTCATAGTAGTTACACCAGTTTGCAGTCCCACCACAGTGCACAAGGGTTCCTATTTCTCCACTTCCTCGCCAACACGTTATTTGTTGACTTTGATAATAGCTATTCTGACAGGTGTGAGGTGATATCTCCTTGTGTCTGTGATTTGCATTTCCCTCGTGATAGTAATGCTGAACATCTTTTCATATGTCCGTTGGCCATCTTTGGAGAAATGTTTTTCATGTCCTCTGCCCATTTTTTTTATTAGTTGTTGTTCAATAGTGCCTTTTTACTTTTCTTCCTCTTTATTGTTGAAAGTATTACGTAAGTCCCCCATTTTCACCCATTGACCTTTTCCAACCGCCCCTGCCCCTCCCCCACAGGCCCTCACCAGTCCAATGTCTGTGTCCACTGTTTGCATACAAGTTCATTGGTTGATCTCTTCCCACCCACCCTCCCCTGTCTTCCTTCTGAGGTTCCACTGTCTGTTCATTCTTCTATATCTCTGGGTCTATTTTTTAAAAAACATATTTTGTTGACTTTTTACAGAGAGGAAGGGAGAGGGATAGAGAGTTAGAAACATCGATGAGAGAGAAACATCGATCAGCTGCCTCCTGCACACCCCCTACTGAGGATGTGCCCGCAACCAAGGTACATGCCCTTGACCGGAATCGATCCTGGGACCCTTCAGTCTGCAGGCCGATGCTCTATCCACTGAGCCAAACCGGTTAGGGCTCTGGGTCTATTTTTGTACATCAATTTATTTTGTTCATTAGATTCCACATATGCGTGAGATCATGTGATACTTTCTCTGACTGGCTTATTTCGCTTAATACTCTGCCTAATTTTTGATCAGATTGTTTAATTTTTTATTGAGTTTCTTACATATTTTGGATAGCAACACCTTATCGAATATCTTCTCCAATTCAGCAGGTTGTCTTTTGTTTTATTGATGGTTTCCTTTGCTGAGAAGCTTTTTAGTTTTAGGAAGTACCATTTGTTTATTCTTGTTTTCCTTGCTTAAAGGGACTATCCAAAAATGTATTACTTAGACTGATAATCAAATAGTTTACTGCCTACGTTTTCTTCTAGGAGTTTCATGGTTTTAGGTGAAATCCATTTTGATTTTATTTTTGTATATGGTGTAAGAAAGTGGTCCAGTCCCCCCCCCCTTTTTTTGCATGTATCTGCAGTTTTCCTAACACTATATGTTGCAGAGACTGTTATTTCTTCATTATATGTTCTTGCTTCCTTCGTATTAGATTCATTGACCATATAAAGTGAGGGTCTATTTCTGGGCTCTCTATCTGTTCCATTGATTCATGGGTCTGTTTTTGTGCTAGTACCTTATTGTTTTGATTATTGTAACTTCATAGTATACTTTGAATCAGAGATCATGATGCCTCCAACCATGTTTTTCTTTTTCACGGTTGCTTTGCTTATCTGTGATCTTTTGTTGTGACATGTGTTAAACACACTACTTTCTTGGTCCTTTGAACTCATGCAGGCACTTTTTCTCCCTGCACCTTAGTCCAGCCTAGGGACAGTGGCGATGTTTGTGGGAGATGTAACTGCAGGCTCTGGAGCAGCTGGTGTGCCCATCAGTGGGGAGTAGAGGAACACAGAGGAGCAAGCAGAGCAAAAGTAGATTCCACAAATCCCAGGAAATGCAGCTCCAGGGGCACCAGGAACAGACTACAGCGAAGATGGAACAGCTCTAAGACAACCCTGAACGTAAAAGGGCAAATCGTAAACAAGTAGATCTTTAAAAGTTGGTTGCAGCCCAATCCTAGGTCAGTTTTTACACAGGACAATTAGCAGGTCATCCTTTCTTCGCTGTGTAAATATAGAAAACTTCAATCAAATATAGTAGTTGGACTTTGAAATTCCAAATTCCAAAGCAAGGTGCAAATATTTGGTCACCAAGTACAGTTTACTATATTTGTTATTCAACAGCCACACTTTGGTACTTTCTGGATCTTCATGATAAGGTAGACACAACCTGTAATTTCTTGCTAGTTTTCTTGTTCATTTTTCTTTATCAAAGGTAAAATGTTCAGACCTGGGGTTAATCTGGAGTCTGGGAAACATACATCAGAGCCAGGAGCTTAAAAATGGGCCAGAAATAGAGAATGGATGGAGGAAATTCTAACAGAAGACGGACAGAAACTAATTTGGGGTAGTGTAGACTTAGGTTGTGTGTTCTCCAACCAACGATGGTGAAGAGGAGCTCCCCTCACTTTATGGAGACCCTGCTGGTTTGGAAAGTTCATTGTTCGACACCATGGATCTCCAGGTGGGTCACGTTTTCAGATACACCAACCTGGAGGACTCCATGCTGTTGAGCTGTTCACAATCAGCGGACACTTCTAACCCCATCTTCCCAGGAACTAAATCGGTATCTTCCATAATGTATATGCAAATCTTATTCTTAAAAAAAATCTTACTCCTTTTTTTCTTTCAAAAATAAGGACAAACTTCTCATTTCTGCATCAAAATATATGTGTTTTGTGAATATTATTAAAGCTGGTGTCACAATGTACTCTATTAGGATGGAAATACTATAAAAAGATTTATCTTTATAAAAGCTAATTAAAAATGATGGGTATAACTAAAATATTTATTTGTGGATTTTAGTTATGTATAGCAGGAGTTCTACTAATAGGTGAGTCTGTCATATAAAAGCAATGCATTTTTTCTAAAATTTGCATTTATTTGGCTTAGTTGATATAAAAGTATATAATTCATAACTAATGAAAGAATGTTCCTTGCTTTGCAATATATACCTTTTTTTTAATTTAACATCTTTTTGAATTGGGCTGATGTTTATATTGCTATAAAACTGTTAATATAGCTATATTACTGTTATAAAACAATAATAATGTTGAGGCAATCACTCTTATTATAGTTTAACAAGAAATCTATTAGTTTGGGGGTTTTTTTTTACTACTAAGATGGGACTGGGGTTGATCTAAGGTAGGTGTTATATATGATATTAAAAATTGTCTTTTATCAAATATTTTGTTTTTATTTGCATTGGGATTTGTGTATGTAATACTCTTATTGGAACTGTTAAATGATGTATCAAATTTTAGTTTCCTTCTATTAACACATTTTCAAATTCAATGGCTTTAATTGTCATGATATGTTACTCGATTAAATATACTATTGAATTCCATTTGCCAGTATTTTACTAAAGTTTTGTGCATTTACATTCATAACTGAGACTAATTTAAAGTTTAAAAATATTTTTTGAGTTTTATTTGGCTCATACTTATATCAATAACACTGATTATATGAAATTAATTAGTGGTTTCCTCTTTTCCCTTATGCTCTTGAAGAGTTTATAGAGCATGAGAATTATCAGTTCTTTAAATATTTGAATGACCCAGCACTTTTGGTAAAAAGCTCAAATTCTTTTCTATAAAGTTTTTATAAGTATAACATTTTTCTAAGCCATTTGATTATTCATATTTTATATACCCTCATTCATGAATTTTGGTAAATTATGAATTCCCTATTGATTATTTATTTAATGAAAATGCTTACAATTTTATCACATAATTGTACATATGATTCTGTTAAACTTAATTATTCTACAAATCTGTTACTAATTTTCTTTTTCTAATTTTAGTTACATTTTTATCATGCAGTTTTGGTAAGCCTTACCAGAATTATATGAATTTTAATAATTCTATTGCTTTTGATTTTATAATTTATTACTCATTTTTTGTAGTTACTTCTTCCTAATTTAATGGGGATTTTTGTTTCCTTTCTTTTTGTAACTTCTTGAGTTAAATGCTAAGCTCCTTTTTAAAAAATCCTTCTTGTTTGGTATTGAGAACATTTGTAACTATGAATTTGTCTCTAATAATTGCTTTGGTCTCATCTAAAATTTTAAAATATAGCATGGTTAATAAGAACCTGGGCCTAGAGTGAAGCAGGCTTAGGTTTGATTTCTGCACATATTGTGAAAGGAACTCGAACTCATAGTATCCACTTGTAATTTATAGTAAAATTACTTACCTTATATGCTTTGCAAGATTAAATGAAATAATACACTTGTAAGGATATAGTACAATGACAGAAAAATCAAATGTTCAACAAAAAGTAGTATTTGTTGAAAATTATAGTTTGGTTTTTCTCTTAACTCAATGATCACTTTACTTTTTAAGATCTAAAGTGCTGTATATTTATTGGGTTTGTTCTTGTTTAAAATTTTCTTATAAATTTCAAATTTTATTGCATTTTGGCCAGAAATGTGGCCTTAGAATTATATTTTTTTAAATTGTCTCACTTTTTTAGTCTTTGAATTATTTGGATAATTGAAAAAAAGATTCTATTCTTTATTGAAGAGGGCCAGTTATACACACACACACACACACACACACACGTTTCATTTATATTCATTCTCTATATTGATTATATTATAATTATAATTTCCTTTTTTTTTTCTTTTTCTTTTTTTTTACTACCTGATCTGTTGCTGTATTTGTGTATTGTTTTTTTTTTTTCACCTATTGTGTTTTGGTCAAATTCTAATAGTTTTTTAAAAACACATTTTGAATGTTATACATAATTAATTATTACTATATTCTCTATTCTGTTTAAAATGTTTTGCTGGTAATTCTAATTTTTATGAAACTCACTGTGCTCCCTTCTATTTCTTCTCTTTTACTTTATCTGAGAATTGTTTGCTATACTTTTATTTTTAATTATTTTGTGCCATTTGTTCAGTCAGTTTTTAAAAAATATATAATTGGATTTTATTTATTTTTTGATTCTTGAGTATTCACTTTTAAATGTGAGGTTTAATCATCTCATATTTTCTTTTCTCTCAATTTTCTATTTTCATTTGATACTTTATGTTTCATTTTTTCTTCATCTTTTACTTTATGAACTATCTCTCTCAAATAGTGATTTGGCGAATATATTTAAATTCACTTTTAGTTTTACTTTGAAAAACTATATTTTTCATTATTTTATAGTAATTACGAAAGCTAAGAATAAGATGTACTACTTTTTTGAATTAGCATTTGCTTATTTCACACTCAGTTTCAGATCTTTTTTGATGTAACATATGTAACATGAGGATAAATTTTAGAGTAAATTATTGCTATTAAATTTTTGTATTTTCATCATGTATGACTATACATTTGTACATTTTTTCTTCCATTTCAATATTCTCACTTGCCTTGTACTGTATAACCACTCCTTTGCTACCTCTTGTTTCACCAGTTTCTGTGATTACAAGGCTTTGTATAGCAGGATCTCGCCATTTCAAAATTCTTTGTTCTGATTCATTCTCTTGCAAGTGATTTAAATACTTAATTTTGTTTTAATGAACTTAATATTTCTTAAGCCAATACACAGGCATGTTTCCAACTATTCTTTTTTTCACTTTATTTAATGATACAGAAGGTGCCGACATTTATGGGGAGAGAAAGAAGAACATCATAAATACACGCATGTCATAGACAGTGTTGCTCTCTAACACATATACAACAAGCACACTTCTATTTCTTAGAGCATATATTCTTTCTTTTTGGTAGAGATAATAATAAAAAACATTTACTGGTTACTATGTACCAGGGCTAAGCCTTTTAAAAGATTCCTTTATTTAGTCTTTATTACAATTCCATAAGGTACATAAAAATCTTATGACCACTTTATAGATGAGAAAACTCAGGCAAAGAGTGTGCGCATAACTTACTCAAGGTCACACAACTTATAAATGTTGGTCCTAGAATTTTAATACAAAAAAATTGAGCTGTAGAATTCAGGTTTATCATTATGCTAAATTGCATCCTAAGAAGAACTATATGTATATCTATGCACATACATACATGTAGAAAAAACACATTCTTGAAACCCATGCTCTTCAAGCATTATCTAATTCTCATTCACAAACCTACCTGAGTGTACAGCTTTAGGTACACTCTCTTCTTCAATTCACACACATTTATACCTTTTTATTACATAGCTGTCCTTCATTTACACAAATATGCATGGATAAGCAACCATTTTATTTTCAGAGAAGCACTGACTTTAAATTTTTAAAAAATATGTTTTTATTGATTTTTAGAGAGAGAGGAAGGGAGAGGGATATAGAGATAGAAAGATTGATGAGAGAGAAACATCACCGATCACCTGCTCCTGCACAACTCCTACTGGGGATCGAGCCTGAAATCTGGGAATTGAACCTGTGACCTCTTGATTCATGGGTTGACGCTCAACCAATGAGTCATACCAGTCGGGCAAAGAAGCACTGACTTTAATATTGTGAAATCATTTTGTACTAGGTCATTTGCAGAGTATAACCAACAATGGGTAAAAGAAGTGTTATTGGTAGAATAAAATTGCACACGTGCGTGCGCGCGCGCGCGCACACACACACACACACACACACACACACAGCAAGAGCCATTTATATAGTTGGATGAGTAACAGTAAGTGTGATTTTTAACCAAGTTAAGGGGTGGGTTGGGGCTAGGGGAGAAGGTACGTAAGAAAGAGCAAAGACAACATTGCATTCAGATTATTTAGGTAATTCAAGCTGACAGAGAGCTGCATCTCTAATCATTTTGTTCTCACTATTTAAAGTACTGCTCAATTCTCTATACATTGTCATAACTTTATAAATACTGAGCAAATATTAATTAGCTATGATTTTGATTAGTATAGTAAACAAATACATATTGATTCAGTAACATTCTATGTCCCCATGATTTTAATGCTGCCCTATTTCCAGGGAGTTTGAATTGAAGCCGATTTTGATTAGTATAGTAAACAAATACATATTGATTCTTTCAGTAACATTCTATGTCCCCATGACTTTAATGCTGCCTTATTTCCAGGGAGTTTGAATTGAAGCTCTAATTAGACCGGACATCCTTCTGAATGACCTTCTGAACAAAGCCTGGGCTGTGGGGGAAGCCCGGGTCCTGGGTGCCTTCTGGCGGCTGGAGGGAAGCCCGGTTCCCGGGTGCCTGCCAGCGGCTGGAGCAAAGCTTGGGTCCTGGGTGCCAGGGGGGAGCTGGTGCCAACAGCCAGGGGAAGGAAGGCCTACTCTTGCATGAATTTTGTGCATCGGACCTCTAGTTGTTGCAATAAGATAGATCCTCCTACAGAATTTTGAATCCTTTTCTAGAACTATAAGGTCCTTATATGAAAGGACCAAATGATCTATTGGCTTCGCTACTACACCTGTCACCTTTGTGAGATGTGAAGTCTGCAAATCTCTTTTCATCCCTGAGATTTCCAGAATAAAGCCTTCTGTGTTTACTAAGGAAGAAC